GAGGATATTAAGCCATTTGCCTTTAACCACTCATGTCTAAGATACATTTTCTAAGTCCATCTTGCTGATAAAATCTCACATGACCGCATCCACCATTGCTCAGATACCATTTTACTACATAATACTTCAATACCTCTCAAATACCTCCATTAACAGTACCACCGCAGAGCGCTGTGTTCGTTCTTCGTCGCGCACCATAGGAGTTATAAATATGTCACTGTCTGCTAAATCCTGTGATGGTGGAGATCGAAAGCGAGGTGAGCCAATTAAAACCTGGACTGATACGGTCAGATTTTGAACGTATAGATGGACCAGCGATATATGGACTTAGATGGTGGAGAAAGGAATGGCTTCTATTACTGTCGACGATGGCATCAGACCGCGCCGCTTGGAAGCGTATTAGCCTTGTAGCTAGTGGAGCCAGTCTAACCAGTAATGGTGAGAGCTATTAGAAGTTCAGCAGCAAGAAAACTAAATAACCATTGAGTGACATTCACTCACATTATTATTCTCATCGCTATTTTATGATAGATTAGCAATTTATTATTTTAATTATTATTTATTATTATTCTTAACCATTATCATTTCTTATTTTTATTAATTATTATTAATATACTCATTTAGATCTTTATGTTTATTGTTTCGGCAACAGCCCATGGCGTTATGCCCAGCTTATTTCTTGAAAATAAGGATCTGACAGGGTTTTAAGAGAAAAATTCTTATAAGAGCTCAATTATAACTGAGTTGAGTTAGGATGCTACAATGCGGAGAACCTGAAGGATTATTTCTTTAAAAATGAAAAACAAATCTTTCATTTTTTGAATATGAAAATTGAAAACTTACGAAAGATACGAGAAGCAATTAATACCTCTTACCGATTTGCATCCTTCGTCTTTAGCTTTACAGATTAATTATTTACTACAACTTTTAGTACATATACTACACCAAACACCTCTGGTACCACATCAAAATTAATAATTAACAAACCTTCCAGTTCATGCCATCCGAAGCTGATTCTTAGTTTTCCCGACGACTTCTAAAGATCAGTGACCAAGGAACTGCTAAATGAAGGTTTTTGTCCGCGATTGCTTTATCAATTTTTAGTGGGAATTTGTCGGTGGCAGTTGGCTTATACTTCGCAAATCTATTTCGGTGTTTTGTTGGCAAATTCGGTGGTGGCAGAGTAGAGCATTTTCTGCGAGCGACACAAGTTGTTTTCTTCCAATATATTTTATTAATTAATTTTTGAAGTAAAAAATCTTCATAGTTAATGTTATATTTTTGATGGTTTTATTGTAGCACGGCGAGAATACATTGAAATGTTTATTTGGCGCGCAGATTGGCTTATTTTCTTATTCAATTTCAGCAGATGAGAACCGATCAGTTTGAAAATTTCAAAAGTACAAAAAAGGGACGAAAATCCTTCGACCACGCCCAGGTTAGTTACCTGTTTTTCCACTTATACTTTGTATATTAATGATAAGTTTTTTTGTGATAATAGAGTATGGAGTTTCTTTTGATAACGCTGATAAGGCGTCACTTTCATTGTGCTTGTCTAGGACCATTCATTTTTTTTATTTTAAGATTTAAAAAATTTAAGAGAGAAAGTGTGAAGGAAAAGATTCCTAACGATTTCCATCGAAATATGAATAGCGATCGGAAGCGTCCATCATTTGCTGTAAATTTTTACTCAATTTTAATTTCTGGAATTTTTACTTTTCATTAGAAAGAGTTGTCAACTGATATTTTACTTCCACTAATTCCAATTTGTTTGATTCTTTCGCCTTGATGGAGTAAATCCTTCATTAAAAATGTTTTGTGCGTTCATCGGTACTTCTCTTTCCAAGTGGATGTAGAATTTGCTTTTAACAGTCCAGTTCAGCTTGCTAAGCTAGAAATAATGAGCGTTAAAGAGTTAAAAAAAGAATATTAGGCGGGTGGCTAAGGATTGTAAGATAGGCGAATATTTCAAGTAATTATTATCGTTCATTTTTGTTTTCATTATCGATGATTAGAATTAAATTAGGTTCAATTATTAACGAGTTGTTGACTGAAGATGTTCGCTTTTCAAAGGAAATAGAAAATGGAATAAAATAATAAAAAAATTAGAAAATAATTCCATTTTAATATTAGGCTATATCAAAGCTCAAAGGACAAAAGCTGATGACGAAAAAGCATGTTGAAGAACGCAGTTTCAATGGTTTTACTAAAAATAATAGAAAACGAAAGAACTCGACACCATTATTTGATTTAAGTGCTTTGCTTATTGTTTTTCATTTTTTTTTTACCTGTTTACTTCAAAAAAATGTTTCTCGAAATTATTTTATCCATCAAACATTTTAGTCGGATGACGAGACTGAAATGAAAGTTCGGTTAAATGCAAAAACTATAAAGTCTTCAAGTCTTATTGAAAGTGAAAGGCAAGAAAAATGGAATAATTCAAGTATGATTTTCTTTGAAAAGTAAATGGTAATAAGTAAGAAGTGGTAAAAATTAAAAATCGAATATGCAAAATCGAATATTTTTTAAAAAATGAATTGATGGTATCTAAATTTTTTTGCGTTTGCAAATATTTATTAATAATTTTTCTCTGAATTTATTTTAGTGGTTATTTTATTCGATGTTTTCTTTTATTTTTTACTATATATAGATAACTTTTTATCTATATATTTTTTATCTGTGCTGTTCGAGCATCGATAAAAGTTGGATTTATTAGATATTTATTTACTTGCATATTTAATTTTTAAGCTTTAACTATTTATTCGTATAATAGGTCATTAAATAAACAATATGTTTCTATCAAAAATTTGGATCAAAATATCAATGAAATTATGCAATTTTATACTTTTTATATTTTCTCCTTCTGGGAACTAATTTCTTTTTTGTAGAGGCCTACTTTATATTAAAATATTTCTTCAGAGGCTTACTTGGTATTAAATTATTCTTCAAAGGCTTACTTGATATTTAAATATTTATTAAAAATATTAAAATATTTCTTCAACGCTATTTTTAAATCATCAAAAAAACAATTTTTTTACTAAGCAGTATAGAAAAACCTGAACAAACGGCAATGAGAAGGGGCAAGATCACAATTATAAAGTATATGAAATAAAATATTCCTTAAAATAAAATAAAATATTGATTCCTTGATTTTTTGTCGTATATTTTTTGAATTATAAGATCTTTGTCATTGTCCTTGCATTTGATCCAAATCGTATTTATTTTCATTTTCTTGTCGTTTTGAATTACGCCTTTTACAAAAGTTACTACAAAAAATTTATTCTTGAAAACATTGAGCTGTTCATGGGAAACATCGGAACAGTTTGACAAGTTTTGAGCAGTTTAATGAATTTTTGTTTCTCCACCATACATGTAATACTTTTCTGTTATGAATAGTGGGTTTAATGATTGTTTCTGATATTTTTTCCATTGACATTAACCATTGACATTAACAACTGGAATCATCATAGGGTACTCACTTTTCATCCCCAGTAACCATTTTGTACAGAACTTATTCCTTTCCAACGAAAGAGAGAAACAGATATTGACGATCGTTGAAGCGTGTTCTTTGATGTTGTGGAACCCAGAAACCAGTGTTATTTGATTTACTCATGGTTTGAAGATAATGGAATGTTGTTTACATGTCATAAGCTTTTTAATGATTTCGTTTTATTCTGGAGCAACTTCGACTGTGAAACACAGAAAATCTTTAAGTTTTGAAAAAATATAGATCTACATACAGATGAAAATATATATAGATTTTTTATTTTATTCCAAATTTCGAAAATAACCTTTAATTTTTTCTGCTTTCGACTGCTTTCGGATACACTTCCGTTTTATTACTTGTTTCCGTCGTTGCTTTATCTGTTCCATGAAATTAGCAGAGCATAGACTGTTGTAAATGTTCATCAGACTGTACCTAAGTCCCATTACTGACTATGTTTCCACGGAATCCAGCTAAATTAATGTCACATTACTATATAAACATTAAAAAAGATCTGCACGGCTGTTTTTAGAGAAAATAACCTATTTAGGAAATTTTCCCAAGCAGTGTTTTTGAAAAGATTGAATATGTTTCGAAAATATTTCGATTTGATTTCCAAAATTATTTTATTCATTTTTAAAATTAATTGTTTTATTTTTCAAATACAGATGATAATACAGCATGTTCATCTTCGTCTTCGTCTGAAAATGTGTTGGATGAACTACCAATCGAAAAAAAATCTCGAAAGTTAGAAAGGAAGGCAGCTATTGAAAAGTAACTTCATTCAAAGCATTTCTTTCATTATTTAAGGATTATCATCATTATCATTTAAATAGTAATTAATTGATATGGCTAATGCTTATTATTTCTGGCTTCGCTTGCTCTTTTCTCTGTTATTGCATTCAAATTTTTGCCAAAATTTCATTAAGATAAAAGTAGGTCTCCATCTGAATTTTTAAAACTGGTCTTCTACTGTCAGAGATTTGGTCCGTATTTTGGAATTCGACTACCACTTCGCCATTCTTCTCTTCATAAATTTTTATATTAAAATCACCTTCATTTGTTTCAAAATTTTTGAAATTCGGTATAAATTGTTATATCAAGCCTTTTTCGAAAAGCTATTCATATGCTTGCATTCGTTTACATGATGCGCGTTTACAAATTTTTTTTTCAGAATTCGAAGTAAGGAAGAGGAAGAGTTTTGTCTTAATCTTATTTCTGGTGAAAAATATAATTTGCCATCTATCGAGGATGTTGAAGATGAATTAAAATTAGCTCCCAATTTGCAAATTATCAAACAACGTATAGGTGATATTTTCGAAGTTCTAGGTGATTTTAAAAATCGCCGTCAAGCAGGAAGGTGTTGTTGATTTTCTCAACATTTATTTATTTACCATGTTTTTTTTCATAATTTTTTGAAATCTATGGAATATTCGTTGTTTTTATTTGATAAATTTTTAAATTTGAACAGTTTGATAGACTTTTTAGAAAAAAATTCGATGTGTAATTTAATCATAACTTAATCATAACTTCTTTCTAGAAAACGCAAAGAATATCTAGCAATACTTACTAGAGATTTGTGCAAATATTATGGTTATAATGAATTTTTGATGGAGAAATTCAGAAATTTGTTTTCAAATGGGAGAGAAGTATTTCATTTCTGCTTTTTTTTATTTTTAAAATTTCGAAAGATCCATTTTGCTTTAAGAGTTTTATCGTCATGGTGAATTGGCTAGAGCTTTATTATTTTTATCGTCTATTTTCGTTTAAGCTTTTGGAATTCCTGGAAGCTAATGACCAACCTCGTCCATTAACTATCCGTTCTAACTCGCTGAAAACTCGTCGTGGTGAATTGGCTAGAACTTTAATTAATCGGTTAATTTTGAGTAATGAATTGATTTTTATTTAGCAAAAAGAGTTCTTCTTTGAAGTGAAAATTTCTCTAATTCATGGTATTTTTTTTATTTTAACAGAGTATCTTCTAATTGGAATATTGTTGTATAGGGGAATGAATGTTGATCCGGCAGCGAACTGGACAAAAGTTGGATTAATTGTTTACGAGTCGCAAGTGCCAGTTGGTTAGTTTTTACTTTTATTTTTGTTATTAAAAACTGATTTTCACTTAATCTAATTTCCTGTTGTTTTTAGGCGCTACACCAGAGTATTTGGCTGGGCATTACATAGTTCAAGGTTTAAGTTCATTGATACCAGTTATGGCCCTTGCTCCTCAGCCTAATGAAAGTGTTCTTGATATGTGTGCTGCACCTGGAGGAAAAACTTCACATATTGCAGCTGTAATGAAAAATACCGGAACTATATTCGCCAATGATAGTAATGTTAGTAATATTCTTGTTATTGCCTTGTTATAAGAGATATTTTTTATTTTTTTTATTTTTATTTCTAATATTTTTAATCCAGAAGCCCTTTGAAATAAGATTGATATTGGTACAGATTCAACGCTGCCGTGCGATAATTGGCAATTTGCATCGTCTTGGCGTAAATAATGCTGTAGTTACAAATCTCGATGGCAAAATATTCGCTAATATATTTCCTCAAGGTGATTTTTTCAGTAAAAGAGCTTCTTCATTCTTTTGGTGATTGGTGAAATTCAGATGAAATTGATTGGTTCAATATTTTAGCTTTCGATCGAGTCATACTTGATGCACCGTGTTCTGGTACAGGTGTGATATCAAAAGATGAGACCATAAAGGGGCATCGTGATAGTCAAGATATACAGCGAAAACACACAATTCAACGGCAGTTAATCCTAGCGGCAATGGATAGCCTCAATGCAAAGTCGGAAACAGGCGGTTATCTTGTTTACTCAACATGTTCTGTTTTGGTACAATTTTTTGTTCACCCTTCAGTATATTAGCCGCTAGATTAATTCGAAATTCTTAAAATATAATTCAAATTGAAATTCAAATACTTCATATGACGTTTTTTAGAATATAGATAAAATTTTCTCGATTTCAACTTTACGGAAATTTTTCAGTTTGACCCTAATATATTTGAGCTTTTCTTTTCTTGCATCATTCATTAATATCCTATATTAGTATTAATTATGGGGGGGGAGGGGGATTGGAATATATTTTTTTAAGCCTCTCTTCCACTCTTTTTTACTAATTTTTTGTGATTTTCTATAACTGTTTTTTTCTCAATTTTGCTGCTTAAAAGTTATAAATTATCTTAAACCAATGTGTCAAATATTATTTAGTTTTATGTTCTAAACTAAGTTTTTTTTTGCAATTTTATTGCCATTAAGTAATTTGTGGTTATAGGTTGAAGAAAATGAGGCAGTTGTCGATTACCTATTGCGTAAGCGTGACTGTAAGCTTGTTCCTATAGGAGTCGACATTGGCATAGAAGGATTTTCAAGGTAATCTTCTTCATTGATATTTTAATGTAATTACCGAAATAATTGATTTTTCAGTTGGTTATAACAGTCGATTAATTTTTACTCAATTAATTTTTAGAATTCAGTTATTCTAAGATGTGTCTTTATACTTTTGTTCTTCCTTTCTTCAAACAGCTCTCACCATTACTGGTTAGGTTGGCTCCAACGGCTACAAGGGTACGACGCTTCCAAGCAGCGCGATCTAATGATATCGTGGAACCATTCCTTTTTCCATTGTCTAAGTCCATATATTGCTGGTCTACCTATATATTCAAAATCTTTTCTCCGTATCAGTCCAAGTCTTAATTGACCCATTTCGCTTTTGACGCCATCCATCATACGGTTTAGCAAGTAACGAAATATCTGTCAACTCCTGTGGTGGACCACGGAGAATGTACCCTAACCAGCGAAGGCGGCGCTCTGTGATAACATTATTTATGCAAGTGGTATTTGAACGAAGGTGAATGCGATTTTGTGAGATTTTATCCACTCGGCGAACCCTTAAAATATGCAAGAGTGGTCAAAGGCAGATAACTTCTTAATATCCTCCACTCTCATTAGCCATGTCTCAGAACCATATAATAAGATCGCATGGATTACGGCAATATAGATGCGGACTTTCGTTTTTATGATGATTTCACGACGACTTTATAAAGATTTTGTCAACCGGAAAAACGCATAGCTGTCGTGATCCGAGTTGTAATATCATCTTTTGCCTGTCTATTTGATATTAGAGTGGACCCAAGGTATTTGAAATCGGGCACTTCCGGCTTTTACAAATTTACAATGAATTTACAAATTTATACTGTTGTTGTTAATCGCTATATTTAGTTTTTCTCATTATTCATCAAATTTTTAATGAATTAGATTCAAAAATTCTTGCACATTTTAATATTTCTGGTTTTTTATTTATTACATAAATTTTGCTTTAGGTATAGAGAATATCGTTTTCATCCTTCACTTAATCTCTCTCGACGTTATTATCCGCATATACATAATTTCGATGGCTTCTTTGTGGCTAAAATAAAAAAACTGTCAAATGAAAAAAGTGAGGTGGATAATTTGACTAAATTTTTGAGGGAAATTTTTTCATGTTTTTTTTAATGGTATCATTTTTGATTTTTTTAAAGAAAAAGTTGCAACCCGATCTATCGGAAAATGTTGAAATTTCCTCCAAATTAATTCCGTCGAAAAAAAGAAAAATCGGACGAAAACGAAAAGGCTCAGAGAAGCGAGGTATGAATACTTTTTTTGGAATTTTTCATTTATCAAATTTCCATTTTATTGTGTGTGAATCTGTAGTTTCTTTAAGTTAATTTTTGACCGAATTAGTAAATATGAAAAGTAACTGTATCAATCTCTAGTCCGTAATCCATTTTTTTTCAATGAAGAAGCAAAATGGAAGAATCTCATCAAAAAAACTGGATTTATGTAGTATAATTATAGCAGTACAATTCAACTATAATCTTTTGCCATCGTTTTCTTTATTGTTATCTTCAGAAAAATCAGTTAAGGAAAAGCCTTTCGATGTAAAGTGATGCCATTAAATGTCGCACAACAGAAAAAAGAAGATGGACCATAAGGTATAGAGAATAAAAATGAAAATTTGGCGTGGATTATCTAAATGTGGATATTGAATATTTGATTATATTTAAGTTAAGATTATTCAATTTTTCAATTTTAAAATTATTTTGTGGCTCTTGATCTTAAATTTATTTTAGACTTAGGTGATGACTAATTGTCTAATTTAAATTCATGATGAATAAAGGAATTTTTTCTTCATAATTTCTTTCATCATTCATTTAATTTCTCTGTATTTGTTATCAGTCTTTTAGTTATTTTCAATTTTTCTTTATTCGGTATAATGTTGATGAATATGAATCGGAATAATTTGCTTTGTTGAATAAATCAAAATTTAATGTGAATTATTGCAGTTAAAAATAATAATTAGAAAAAAACACAGTAATAAATTAATAATCGAATTTTAATTATTTTTTTAACGGTTCTAGCAGCTCCCACCATTGCTGGTTTGACACGCTCAACTGACGGTTAAGGCAAGATATTCCTAAGCCTCTCGATCCAATGCCATTCCTGAAAGTAACTGGAGCCACTCCTTTCTCCCCCCACCTCACTTCGTGTATCTCTGGACTTTTTAAGTGCCCAAAATCGCTGGCGCCAGATCTTAGTTGGCCCTCCTTGCTGTTAATACTATACAGCACATTATTTAACAAATGTGAAATATGCATCGGCCGACGAAGAATATAGCCAATTGAGCGCAGACAACGTAGGATGAATGTGGTGTGTCCAAAGCAGATAGTTTTCCGAAATTTCCAACCCTTATTGTCCAAGCTTTTTTTCATCACATTTTTCAATCTTAATTTATTTATTATTTATTACGTTTTGTTTTCGTCGAAAAGGAACAAAATTTGTCGTAGTTCTCGTGATCAGCTACAGAATTCTTAGGTTTGAAGAGTTGGCTGGAATGTCGAAATAGCAGCGAAGAATAGCTTCGAACACTGAACATATAGGATGAGTGGATTTCGCCATGTTTCGGTTTCGCACTTACCACAATACAACCTGAGACATTTTGCTTATTGCTTAAATAAACTTATAAGTTTAGATAAGCTGCTTGGATAAGGTCTTTTCGTTGCACTGTCGCACCACTCGCAGCACCATTTCACATATTTTTAATCCATGGAATAAATTACGGAAGAAAAGTTCAGTTCAATTTATTTATTTATTTATACTTAATTTTTCTGACTATTTGCGTTTAAAAACAAATAAAACGCAAAATTAACTCAATATCGTTTGATTACGGAAAGAACAAAAAACCATTTCATATTTTAATTTGAATAAAATTAGGTATAAATTTTCGCAGAATATTTAAGTTCCACGAAAGACGGGTTTGAGGACAAATGCAGCTGGACCCTCGGCATCAACCGGATTCACCGTCCTTGGCGTCATCCGGATCCCTCGTCCTTGGCGGCATCCGGATTCCCCGTCCTTGGCGGCATCCAGATTCCCCGTCCTTGGCGGCATCCAGATTCCTCGTCCTTGGCCTCAAACTGGTTTCATTGAGCATTTCAGCCGCAATCATTTTGCGTTAATTATCGTGAACTATAACAAATATAATCGAGCGAGCGTAATCGCGAATTCATTTGGTATCAACGTGGAGGTGATGAACTTTTCAGTTGGTGCCGAATTTTATGACAAGTTTTTCTGGAACATTTATTTTAGAGTAAATTTCCCTCATTCTTTGAAAGATTTTAGTCGGTCTTTAATGTAAGGAAGGAAGACGTTCTTTGTTCGCTAATGTTTGGATTTCTTCTGTTTTTGATTTTAGTTGAGAAGAAATTCCCAAATTTTGCTAAAAAAATTCTTTCAATGCGGAATAGAAACGTTTTTCTGGGAGAAACGAGTAACTCTTTGCTAGCGCTTATCATTTCTGATTAGATTCACTACTGGAATTTTCGCTTAGAACTCGCTTGGTGCTGCAGCGGTGCCAGTGGACCATCCTCATGGCCAGCTTGATGCTGCGTCCCCTCCGGGGAGGAGGTCTGTTCCTTGGCTTTCAACACGCTATTGTGAGCCGTTGCTCGCCGGATTAATCTGCTTTTAATATACGAACACAGAATGAGCCATCCTTGGCTCATTTTTTTCACTTTAGGTGAATTGAGTTGATTAATTTTTAATTTTGGAATTTAGTATAGTTTGGTTGTGGAAATCGTCGCAAAAAATTTGGGATTTATTATTTTATTATGGAAATTTTCAGATCGTAATGGTTCCAATTCCAGCTATAAAAAAAGTCTGTTTTGCTTAAGGAGTATTGCATTTTTAAAAAAAAATTAGCAAAATATATTCAAAAGTTTATTTAAAGCTCGTATTCATTTGCCAACCTTTCGACTTGCCGTTTTATCCTCACACATAAGTTATAATATATATGCGCATAGGATTTGTTTTGTATTAGTCGCTCATTTTCCATTAAATTTTTCACTTTTTTAATTTATCTGATCTTATTATACCTTCTTTCTTGGTGAAAAAAGATAAAACATCTTCAAAACTTCGATAAATTTTAGTTGAATGAGTAGTGACGAAGCAGCACGGTACTTGGAAAGGCAAAGACCTTTGGCATCAGGCGTTGTAACTGTATCTTCAACAATAACATCAACTCAACGACGAGCTTTAAAAGAAGGAGAATGGGCTTGTGTCGATGCTAAATGTGCTTATATTAATAGCGATCGACACGTGGTTTGTGATCGATGTGGTAAAAGTAATTTTTTTAAAGCAATTTTCTTGATATCAGAGATGAAAAAAATCAATTCTATACAGCTCATAAAAAAACTTATTTTGTGGATAAATTTGATTCATTATTTTGGACACATTTTTCCCATAACAATAATGGATTCATTTACTCTTTTCGGTTTAATTTTTTATTTCATTATTTATTAGTTTTTATGATTTCATTATTTTATTAAATTTTTTTATGGTCTAATTTTTGTCATGACTATTAGAGGGGCCAAAAATTTTATACAGGTAAGCCTCGATCAAAAAATCGCGTCGGTAGAGAAATTGGAAAGGATGCCGCAGAAAAATCTAAAGGTTTATTTGCAGCAGAGGATTGGGCTTGTACGAAGTTAGTTTGTTTTCATAAAGAAATTCGATTTTTGAGAATAACTTTCATATGTTTTTTCACTTGCAAAAAATCCTTCCAAGCTTCATGTATTCTCTACATTTTCACTTTTTAAAATTTTTTAAAAACTTAAACGTTTTGTCAGGTGTGGAAATGTAAATTGGGCTCGGCGAATTGCGTGCAATATTTGCAATGCTCCGAAATTAGGCGATTTGGAAATTAGAACGGGTTTGCTTTTTATAAATAATGGCAGAAAGATAAAAAAATATATCTTTCATCTTAATAAAAATGTAGAGATATATATATTTTTCCCTTTTTTTCCTGTATTTCTGCAAAATATTTATTAATATTAATATAATATTTATTTTTATTATTTATTTAATATTTATATTTATTAACATTTTCTATCTTCGAAGAGCGTAGAAAGTAGAGCTGATGTCAAGGTTGCGTCTTTTCTCTTCATTATCCAACTATACGATAATCTTGATAATGGATATCGCTTTTTAGCACTAAAAAAGTGTACAAATCAATCCAAACCGAGTATAAGACCTCGAATATTCTGATAATATAATCCTTTTGACACTTAAAGCGAAATGCAAATAATGCTAAACAATGTGTCGACAACTACAGTAAAAGTTGGGAAAGTCGGACATATTCAACATAAACAAAAAAATCGTTTTAATTTTATGCCACATTGGATCTACTTTAATTACAGATGGCTAGGCATAAGACGAAATTGAAACCTAGAAATAATAGTAAATATTCTTCTTCTTCTAACTTCTTCTAACAGCTTTCGCCATTACTGATTAGGCTGGCTTCAACGGCTACAAGGGTCAGATGTTTTCAAGCAGCGCGGTCTGATGTCATCGTCGACAGTAATGGAGCCATTCCTTTTTCCATCGTTTAAGTCCATATATTGCTACTCCACCTATACGTTCAAAATCTTTTCTCACCGTATCAGTCCAAGTCTTAATTGACCCGTTTCGCTTTTGACGCCATCCATCACACGGTTTAGCAAGTAACGAAATATCTGTCAACTCCTGTGGTGGACGACGGAGAACGTTCCCTAACCAAAGAAGGCGACGATCTATGATAACGTTATTATTAATACAAGTGATATTTGAGCGAAGATGGATACAGTCATGTGCGATTTTATCCATTCGACATCCGTTCGACGGATCCGTAATATGTACCTTAGACAAGAGAAGTCAGATAACTATCTAATTATCTAACTATCCACTCTCATTGGCCATGTCTCCGAACCCTATAGCAAGTTCACGGCTATATAGATGCGTACTTTCGTTTTTATGTTGATTTCACGACGACTCCATAAAGATTTAACAACCGGAAGAACGCATTTCTAGCTGTCGTAATCCGAGTTGTAATATCATCTTTTGCCTGTCTATTTGGTATTAGAGTGGACCCAAGGTATTTAAAATCGAGTAGTGAATTTATAAAAAGAGGCATTTTATCAGCTTCTTACACATAAGACGAAAAGGCTTTCGTTTTATTTACATTGATTCTGAGTCCGATTCTCGCAGTAATTGTTAATACGTTATTTAGAGCAGTATTTGCATTTCATCATAATTGTCAGCAAAAAGGAACATCATCTTCGTATTCAAGATCTGTGATACGATGCTCTGGACTTATTTGGACACCCCATGATGCCGATAAACAATGTCCGTTATCCATTCTATCGCACAGTTGAATACTGTAGTGGAAAGGACGCAGCCTTGACAGTTCTTATTTCGAAGGAGGCTGTCAATTCCCCATATACGTGAGTATCTTGTCAGCACAATCGAGCCCCAGTCTAAATCCAGCTTGATTAGAGTGCATCCTGCTGTCTCTTACTTCCATAAGTCTGTTGAGTAATACAGGCTGATTCCTCGATAACTGTCGCAATATGTCCTATCATGTTTCTTGAGAATTGGGAGCAGAATTATTTCGCTCCAATCATCTGGTAATATTTCTTTTTTCCATACTAGAGAGTACATTTGTTGAAGGTGCGTTATGAAGTACGATCGATAGCATTTGAAAAGCTCAGCCCGAAGACCATCTTCTCCTGAAGTTTTGTTGGCCTTAAGCTTATGGATAACTGAAATTATTTCTTCTTCTATTGGAGATTCGCAATTGCAAACGTATGCTTTGGCAAAAGTATCAGCTATCAGGGGCAACAGATGGCGCTTCATGGTTAAATTTGGCCTCTTTCTTTCCATTTTATGAGACGATCCTAAATACTTTTAATTAGAACGCCTTTGCTGTCTCTTACCACTTCACTGATCGTTTCCCGAAGTCATAGTTGCTTTATGAAGAAGGCAGAATAGTTTCCTACTGTCGCCTAGTTGAGCCGTCGCCTCCATTCTTGAGGTCATGTCACTCCAATAGAGATTTCTGTTCTGCCTTGCTGCTTTCGTTGCAAATCTTCGAAGCACTCGGTAATCAGGATCACCTGACATTCGTGCTTTTTCAGACAATTGGACAGTTACTTCCGATATCCAACTAGCACACTTGTATGCCATAGCGTGAAAGTGGCTGTACAACAGTAGATATACATTCTTCCGTTTGACGAAACCTTTATGAAGGCATCGTGAAATCGCCCATCAAAAAAAAATTCGCGTCCTTACAGCTGCAATTCGCTGGACCTTGTTATATGGCTGCGGGATAGTTAGAGTGGAGAATATTAAAAAATTATGCCTTTGACCACTCATTTCTAAAATACATTTTGCGGGTTCGAGCGGATAAAATTTCACATGGTTGCATCTTCAAATGTCACTGCATTAATAATATACCATCACACAACTTCTTCGCTGATTAGAGCACGTTCTTCGTCGTCTACCATAGGAGTTGGCATATATTTCGTTATTTCCTAAACCCTGTGATGAATGTTGTCAAAAGCGAGGTAGGCTAATCAAGATCTAGGTTGATATAGTCAGGAGTCAGAGAAAATTTTGGAAATATAGGTGGACCAGCATTATATGGACTTAGACGAAAAAAGGAATGGCATCTATTACGTCAGTAATAGCATCGGATCGCCGAAGCGAGCAGCTTGGAAAGTTCTTGCCCTCGCAGCCTACAAAGCCAACCTAACCAGTAATGATGATTACTGGTTAGGAAAAAAAGAAAGAAGAAAAATCCTGGATTTTAAAATTTATCCGACCTTCTGATCGAATAAACGGAAAATTGAAAATTGATGGTTTTTATTAAATTCCTTTATTTTTTCCATTAGTTATTCTTAAGTATGTTATTCTTAAGCGTTTTAACGTTTATTAATAGTTAAATTACAGGTTATGGTGGTGGATATATGGATCGTCAAAACGTTGAATATATAGAGCGTACAGATGACGAAGAATTCGACGAGTTTGGACGAAAGAAAAAGAAAAGACGATTGGACGAGACAGCATTTGTTTGCTTCTCAATTTATTTTTGTGAATATTTAAATGTATTTCATTTTCTAAATTTTAATTATTTAATTAATTACAGGAAATAAGTGCGACAGAAAATATTGAACATGAAAGAAATCAAGAAGTTGAAGAAGGAGAAATGGAGACTGAAGATGAAGAGAAGGATGATGAGAATAATGAATTTAATGAAGAAAACATCGAAGAGGTATGGTGAAGAAAGGTTTGCTTTGCTTCGTTAATTGCGTTGATAGCTTTTTTTACTATTCTTTGAATTTATCAGTTATAGAATATTTTTGCTTCGACTCATCGACTAAAATAATCCTTTCTTATCGGAGAATTATAGGATGATGACGATGAAAATGATGAAGATCTAGGAAAATATGATCTAAGTGCAGATGAATTCGAAGTTGAAAATTTGAAAGCAAAAATAGCCGCACGTAAAGCTGCATTTGCCACTGCTTCGACTGTTTCGCGGACTGCTTCTCTTTGTTCTTCCGAGTAAATTTCTTTTTGAATTTGTGAAATGGATAAGTCATTTGTGCCTTTCTCTCATATTTTATTTGTCACAAAGAAAAATTGCGATTTGAATTTAAATTTTTGTCTTTTATTTATTTATTAGGTGAAGTTATGTGAATTTTTGTGATTTATATTGTGATATTGCGATATTCTGTGATGTGATTTGTGTATGAATTTCCTTAAGACCTTTTTCTTGCAGCTGTTCATGTTCTTGTAGTGGAGGAGAATGTTCTTGTGAAGATAGTGAGGACGATGAATCTAAAAGGCGATATTCTAAAGATAATGAACAAAAAAAGCGAAGCGATCATCGAGAAAAGGAAAAAGAGTTAGATCGAGAAAGAGATAAAGGGAGAGATCGTGACAGAAGTCGTGAGAAACGAGAGCTCGATCGTTCAGGGCGAGATAAAGAAAAAGATCGAGATAATAACGATGATCGTCATCGTTATAAAAAGCGTTCTAGGAGTAGGAGTAAAAGCAGGTAAATCTTTTTACTTTTATATACTTTACTTTTTTTATAGTTTTTTTATCGTATTGAGAGATTTACATACGGTCAACATGGTATATTAATTTTTGAAACCAAGTTTTAACCATTCTTTTTGAGCTATAAGGTAAGAGCGAAAATATGGATTGCCAACCAGTCAAAGCTTAATTAGTATAATTCTTGGAGATAGACCTGAGAATGTAGTTTTTAAAATCATTTGCTTTTAGGGATCGGTCATCTCGACATCAGTATTCATCACACCGCGATCGTGACAGATCTTCTCGGCATTGACTACATTATATTGTTCAATTTGATACTGTTGTTATTTCTATTTGCTGCAACTTGTAGATACATTAATATATTTTCACTATATTTTTCCAGAGAAGAACTTATTTTTTAATGCATTACTGATAGAATTTCCTCACCTTTCATTTAAAACGTTTAAAAATATCCTTTGAAATTATTTCGCTGCATTGGTGCATATTTTGTAATATTTAAGTTTGGGTTTCTTAAATTTGTAAATTTATTCCATTTTTATTATGGAAATTAGAAATTGCCATTTAATTACGTTTTTTTAATTTCATTTGTGCTGTCATCAAAAATTGAGTTAAATGAGTTCGGCAGATTTCATATGTGTTATATATTAAATTTATGATGTTTTTGTTTAGATGATCTTAAAGTCAGATTTTTCATGAGTAAAATATTTATCATAAAACAGTAATTAATGGGAACATTGTTGATGCATTTTAATGCATATTTCTTCGAATTTTATTATTGCATATTATTATTATAGAATCTGGTTATCATAGTGATAATAATAGCCTTTTAAAAAAAAAGGCGAAATGTCCGCCATTTAGGTTAAAAATCTTTTGGGCTATCCAAAAAATTTCCGCGTTTTTTTGAATTCGATTTTGAGGTTACTTCTCGTTGTTGTCGAGCCACTTGGTTATGTCGCTATAATTATGATCGTTATAATTTCATATTTCTTATGACACTTAAGTTTCCTTCCTTTCGAGTGGTTTCTATCCACGAAGCTTGAATGGAGTGATGTGGTTTTCGACTTCTAGCATTTTCGGAACTCAAACTGTGGCATCCAATTTCATCGTTTGATTATAATATGCAAGTAATTTTTGACGAGGATTAAAGGAAACCAAGGCTTAAACTAAAGAAGACTGAAGTCTCTAAAGGAAAAAGCGAATCGAAAATGGAAAATGATTCGTGAAAGCTGAAATCGGGGCATCGGAAATCCTAGGTCTTATTTTTTTTACTAAGAATCTTTGAAGGACTTATTTTGTTAGGGTGAGGGCATAGCGCTTTGGCTCTTGTAGAATCATTTTATGCAATGGGAAAAAAAATGCTCGATAAATGGTTGCCACACAGATTGAGTGACCATCGCATGGAGAAACTTTTGGCATTGTGAATGTTTGATGAAAAATATATTCTATATAATAGAAAAATGTTGGCAGAACGATTGGATAGTAAAGGAATGTAAATAGTCCACTAGGAATAATAAACTATGCAAAGAGCACTGGTCATCAAAAAAAATTCCACCATTTTTCATGATAATGTAAGGATTCCTTTTCAAAAATTTACCGAATTTGATATAGAAATCCGTCCTCATCCACGATATTCGCCAGCTCGTCAGCAGATTCCCTGAGAACTTCATTATGAGAAATATTTTCGAAAGCAGAACGCTGAGAATGTCTTGCAGTAGTTCATTGCTTCCAAAAGCTCGGATGCAAACTTGCTTTGGCAAAAATGTTTGTGCTCATTGTAAATAACAGTACCTATTTTAAATAAAAATATTGATTTCAATAAAGTTATAGTCGCTAGAAATAAAATATATTATTTTCGCGCCTAAAGTTATTAATTTTATTTGGGTGAATTTTTCGCATAAACAGGTTTTTTATTTTTCTAAAATCTTTTAAAAAATCGTTTGGTTAGCGGTTTTTGTGGTTTGTTTTCATAATATCTTATATTTAAATTGCTCTTCAGATCGTCCAGCCAATACTTGAAGGCGATGGACAATCTAAATTTTCAGGGTCCGTACCATTTTTTATTGTTTCAGATGATTTTATTGATTTTAGTCATTTGCTGACGTATTCGGTAGTTGTTGGGTATCCTTAGACGAGAAGCATTATTTGGACCAGGAAGATTTAACAGATTTACTTGAAATTTCGCAGATATTTGTTATTGACTTTAATAATGGTGAAAATGGGGTACAAAGTGGGATGAAATCCAGTGTTTTCTCATATTCAAAAGTTTAAATGCTTGAAAAAATTGTGGCTGATGAGGTTTTTTTGTGACACAGCTCGAAAACTTTGGTTTTATTTCTTTAAAAAAGAATAATTCAGATTTTGGATCGGACTTCCAACGAGGTGGAACCAGTAACCCTGTCTATCGACCAGGCGATGAAGTTAATCGAGTCAATCAAGATAATCGAGTATTTATGAATGAATTTTTTCAATGAATTTTCTGCCTTTAATTAGCCTTTAATATGTAATATTGGTTTATTTGATGGAATGATTAATTAAAAAATTTATCATGATTAAATGAATCAGTTTTTGCGTTATTTATCAGCTTTTACCGTAATAATCATTAGATTTTATATTTTTATTTATATATTTTTATATAAAAGAATTTTTAAAGTTCCTTGTTTTATTTTTGGTTTGGCTTACTTTTTTCATATTTCATAGGGAATAATTTTATTTTTTAAAGGGAAGCATGGATAGGAATAAGTCGAAGAAAAATTTCTTCTCTCTGGAATATTATCAACAGTATTTTGATGTTGATACGGACGAGGTGAAGATTTTGATTTTGATTTTTGTTTTTTTATTTTAATTTATTTTTTAAATTCACTTTTCATAAATCACCTTGCAAGGTGCGATTATATTATTAATCAACCGATTTATTTTGTAATATCTCACACAAATAATTGTTTTGATGATATTTACTTTTCTATAAGGTAGAGTATTAATCGCATTTTAAAATTGTCAATTACTTTAATTCAATAATAAATGATAATTTAAATTATTAAATTAATAACCCGTCTGTTTAACAGATTATTTAATATTTAATTGATTTGTTGATTTTTCTTATCATTAGTTTAATCATTTTTCATTGCAAAAAGTAAAAGAAAGATATTAGGAAACGAATAGAAAATGAGAAAACACTGGATTTTTTATTTATCGATATTCCTAGTGGTTGTTGTTCAGATTGAAGCGCCTATGCTGAAGTTCTATTCCCCATTGGGAAAAACTTGTTGAAAAATTCGATGATGCTGGCTATTTAAGTCAGCTTCCATTCTTAATGGACTATTTGGAATATTCGTTCAATGTTGCTAGCCAGCGAAGCGAGTTTAAGGAGCTTCCTTACCAATAATATATTTCAGATTCCTTGCAGATAAAAAGCTTTATTAATGATAAATTTTTTTTTTTATACATATATATTTTTTTAGATAGTAACACGACTGATAAATAGTATGTACCCTCGTTTTGCGTCGAATTTTATCACTGATTATATTCATCCTTTCCCGGATCTTTATGGTTATTTTTAAAAAATGAATCTTTTTCAGTTATCTTCATATACAGTTGTATCTTTAAATTTAATTTAGGGTAAAGGATTTTCCTAAGTGATTGCTTTAGAAAGAAAATTGTTTTATAGAAAAAAATTATATGAATAACTATTAATATTGTCTTGAGTTATCATTGCGCAACAAAATTTGGATATTCAAGGACCATTCTGGATTTGCGTTACGCTTGTGTTCTCTACTGCAATCTGTGGAAATCTTGCAAAGTATATAGAAGCGGTCGGTGATACTAGAAATTATTATGGTAGCGATTTCAGATTAGGTTAGTTAAATTTTATCCAGTTTTGTTTTTTATTATTCATGTTACTTTTACATGATAAGTTTTATATAAATATAAATCCGTTATTTGTTTTTAGTTATCTGTTTTGAAAGCAAAATTAAACATTGAAAAAAAAATAAAAAAAGTGAAGTTAAGAAGATAACTTCGAAATCAACTGTACTACAGTTATTGTCTGTTTTAATTTATAGATTTTCTGGGTAATGTTTTTTAGTGTCTGCTGCGTCAACGATGATTGCATCTTATGTTTTACTTGTTCCTTTTATTCTCTACGCATTTCTGTGGCAGCGAAAGGTAGATATTGGATATTCATATCTTGAGTTACTTTGCGCTTATGGATATAGTCTTTCGATTTTTGTGCCTGTTTCAGTAAGTTTTTCTGGTTCATTTTTTATTGGTTTTTATTTTATAATAATATGATAGAATTTTTCTATGATAGAATTTTAATTTAAAAATTCTTTATAAACTTTTTTTATTTCATTTGTAAAATATAAATTAAACATTGAAAAAAGATAAAAAAGAATAAAGATAGAGTTTAAAAGATTCAAAATCAATTGTGTTGCAGATATTGTCTGTTGTTGTTTTAATTTATAGATTCTTTGGGTAATAAATTCTGATTGGTTCCGATGGTTGTTAATAATAATTTCAGTCGCACTTAGTGGAACTGTACTTGTTAATAGCATTTGGCAAGTGGTGAAGACTGATCGAAATAGAATGGTTAATAATTTTGCATATTTTTTTGAATAAGCTTAGATATGCTTTGATCATAATTTTTGAAGATAACTATTTTAAAAAAAATTTTTCGATTGTTTATATGACGCCGCATAGTTGATTATCTAATCTAATAAATTTCAGGTTGCCTTCACTATTATTGGTTTTACCTTATTTTTACATTCACTTCTTGCTGTTTGTTTCAAAGAATTTTACTTCGATGTCGCTCAATCCAAAAGTGAATATCCGCCTGATATACCTGCTATAGGAAAAGAAAAAGAAACGGTGAATCCCAGTTTGTCGATTTTCGACGACCAACATTTAGGTTCAGAGAAAAACAATACTATCACGAACAAAGGACCAAAAAATGCGCTGGCGAGACGGAGGAAAATCCCCACTGACCGTGAAACAGGTCACAAATCCTTTTCTTATGAAAAAGGTCATTCAAGCGCTTCTAAGGATCGAATTAGCTTAAACGCATCTGATTCGACTTCGGGATGATGACAGTTTTTTGATCTGTCCGCTTTTTAATTTCTATTTTCTAATATATTTATTTTTGATAGCTATAAGAAAATAGTCAACATGCAATAGTTAAATGAATGTTTAATGTCTAAAAAAATTATAAAATTTAAACAGTTTTTGCCTGAATCGCACTGAATTTTGGTAGACTGGTACTCATACTCAGTTTATTCATCGGTTGTATCGGATGTTTTTCATATGAATTTTTTGCAGAATTTCATTCTTCAATTTTTGAGTGCTTTATTCTTTATTCTTTTTTATATATCTCATTTTCTTTAACGTTTCGATAATTTGATTAATAATTATATTGATTGCTGCTTCATAAATTGCTGGAACCTTCAAGCAATTCTCGTAAAACAAATGTTATAATTTGGAAACGAATTATTTTTTCGAAATGTTTAAAATTTTATTTCGAACTAAACATTTCTTAAAATTTCCAAAATTTTATTTATAATCTTTTCTTTTCTCTATAATCTTTTCTCGTTCATTTTTTCTCCTCAGTCGTTTGATACAAAATACTTATGAAAATTTCTTCATAGAATAAAATTTTGAACAAATTTTTTAACATGACCATGACCATATCTAATCTGATAAAAATGGTATATATTTTCGATCTTTTCTCTCATCTACGAAACTTTATTGTCTTAGCATCTTCAAAAGATAGTAGCCAGATGCTGAGAATCTTGTGGCGGCGTTGTCATTTACCATTTGGGAAATAATTTGTGCCAACAAGCATAAGGAATTTTAGGATGGTTAAATATTTCATTCCACTGCCGAATACCGTTTTCTGATCCTGATGGACCTATGATTACATGGCCGATTTCATTTTTAGTGCCAATAATCTCATGGTCCTTAACCTATAACATTCAAATCATAAAATAGCGTATTGTATTGTATTATAAGAAATAACCAACGGATACGCATGTTCAGCAGCCAATAATTACAAGGGGTGGAGAGGGGCCAGATGGTCAAGTATATATTCATGATTTCATTTACAGGACAATGCTCCTATGTGTGTCGCAAATTCTGATATCTTGAAATTCCAAACAAGTAATCAAATAAATGTTTTCTATTATGAGTCATTTTGCATTCTTTAGATTGTTTCCCGTCAAATTCCATGTTTTTTTGTTTCTATCTAAAGCTCATATCTTTTTATTCCTGTTATACGGGAAATGCCTTTCCAATTCGGATCTTCTAATCGGATCTTAGTTACAATGCTTGGAATTTTTGATATAAACCACTCCCATTATCAATAAGATATGAACCCTGTTGTGTTAAATCAGTGCTGTGTTTTTACGGAGTAAAAATTGGTGTATCTCGTTTGGTTCACGACTTTTTCCACTCAATTCTAACCAACACCACTCAATTCGACTCGACTTATCACAACAGTCAAATCGCTGATGGTATTCGACTTCGACTTCACTATATTATAAATTCACGACAATATGTGTCGGTTTGCTAAATATGCATGCATTTTAAATCTAAAAAAATTTCAGAGAATTTAAAACGTGAAAATTTTCGAAACTACAATTAAAGCCTTAAAAATGGCAACAAAAATCCGAGGAGTGCGAGGAAATTTCACTTGAATTTCTATTTCCCAGTAGTTCACTGAGGAAATGGTCTCTTCCTAATGGCCACTGCAGTTAGCCAAACCAGTTGAATGGTGCTGGAAAAAGACGATTGTAAGGACAAATAACATACCGTTGCAATTAAATTGACTTCAAGTTTTCCATTATCTGGCAAGTTGAATATAAACATTTGGTTGAACACTGGTGACAATGTGTCATGTCTTGTCACAGTTTTTCGTTTTTCAAGTTTTACTCCTTGCTTAACAAGATAGAGTTTCACATATGAATCTGAAAAATGTCATCGTTTTTAATGAATAATTTGAATATCATTATTAATAATATATTAGTGGAAAATTTATGATTACTGAAGATTGGCTGCGGAATTTTTTCGCTCCTTAGAAAGCACATTATAAGCAAAATGGTTTTTGTTTGCCTCACGAAATCGTGTCTATCACTTAGCTGCTTAAGTCGAAAAAAACAGTAATCATTCGGTTCATTCGGTCATAAAATTTAAGGTTTGGAACGAACCTGATGCTCGAATTTCATTTTTTTTCATAAGCTTTTTTGCTTTTACAACATTCACTGTTAATTTCCTTTTTTCAGGTAAATAGCATAAGGATAACATTAATTCACCACTGCTTTCCTAAAAATTTTTTAAAAAAAATGTATTAAAGTTTATTGTTTATCGAAGAGAATAGCATTTTTAATATAAAATTCAATATAAAATTTTATTGGATTCCCAAGTTGGTGTTACGGAGCGAAGGACTTGGGAAGGTCTTATCACTTTGGCTAGAAAAGCCAGTTTAATCGACAATGTTGTGAGATGGAGAAGGAGAAGGCTATCAAGGAACCAACAAATGAATTCTATCTTTAATGACAGGTTAATTCTCGCCAAGGAAAAAGAATCGAGACCAATGTTTGACCAAAGTTTAGGCAAATTTAGATCGATTTTTCTAAAAGAATATAATTTAATGATTTAATTTCTTTGTCTTTTAGCGGCAAGAAGAAATTTTTTTTTACGTTTGGTATTTGTAGATGTCTCCAATGTAGAGGATTTTTACTAAATTTGACGTTTCGCATAGAAAAAATTAATTCGCCAATTGAATCATCGTTATTCAGTTGATCGTAATCCACAACTTCCATGACCACTGCGACATCACCCTTTCGTTTTGATGCCAATCCTGGAAATTACTGTGTTTTTGCGGAGCACTGCCAATCTAGAATTTCTAACCATTGTAATCACTGTGAAATCGGATTTTGTTGATGTAACTGGAATGAAAAACTTCAAGATGAAAATAGTTTTTTATTGCGAATTGATCAAGAAGTTTAATATTTTCATTAAATATTTCCATATTTTTTTCACATATAGTATGAATTCAGATTTTTAGAGATATAAGAGATTTGTTTCACAGGTAAATGAGCTTTATCATCGCGATGTCATCACATTCAAAATTTAGTTCGTAATAAGTATTCTGCAGTTTGAAAGAGCTATTTTGTCGCGAGGCATCAAAGAAGACATTTTTTGTCGTCCATAGGAATTGCTTGATTTGTTTTATTTCCTGATTTTTTTAATTTTTATCTTTTCCTAAATTAGATATTTGGTTATTCATTCCCTCTTGTCACCATTTCCCAGCGATAAATACTATTTAAATAAAATTTTAGCGAAATCCTTAATCCTCTATGGCTTAACTTACCACATTTATCGACACAGAGAAATTTTTTTTTAAATGACAAATTGCCAAGTTTTTATGACAATAAAAGTTGATTTACATATTTATATTAATTTTTATACACATTTTTATATTGGACAGCTTACTTGGAATTAATACTTCAGCGAATTTTTCTTATAAGGGAGAACTTCAAAAAATTCAAGGATTTTTTTAAGATCACAAAAATTTTTTTCTTATAAGTTGAGTTTGCTATAGCGAAAAATTTTTATACTTCATTAGTTAATTTCTAAATTTAATTTTATTTATCATTTATATGATTAAAGCATGATGCTTGATTTGCTTGATTTTAATTTATTTTCTTATTCATCTTATCAGTAAAAAAGATAAGGGATTTTATAGATAAATGAGATAAATGAAATGATTTATCATCGCGGTCATTCCTTATTCAAAATTTACTTGCTTCTTAAACTCGAATTTGATTAAATAAATAAAAGAAATATGAAATTTCGCAAAAAAGTATGAAACCAATGATTATATTTTCATCATTCATCGATGTATGTTCATCACGACAATCTCATGGGACAAGCAGTGAGAAAATATTTCTCTTTCCTCTTTTGCTCGATTCTTTAATTAAAGCAAGTGCATGAATTTTGAGCAAATAACATCGCTTCATTAATTTACAATACAAAATCTTATGAAAAAAATAAAGAAAACTGATCAAAAGCAAGAGAATTTTGAAAAATATCTACTTTGACATAAAGGTCGCGGTGATATAATTCCTGCGGCTGAATGTCTCGGAGGCGTAATAAATCCTCGATGACCCGGCAAAGAAAAAGAACGACTTGATGAATGGCTATGCTTATTTTTTAGGCCCGCATTCCATCGTTGTAAATCGTAAAATCCACGCATTGAATGATAGGATGTTAGCAAATCCATTATAAAGTCTTATGCTCAAAAAGCCCTTAAAAATACTTAAAATATGAGCAACTTTTTTAAAAGAACTCTTTAGCAACATGAAATCATCGATAAATATGTCGAATTTTCAAACAAAAATAATGGAATTTTTCCGGCTTCTTGCTTTAATTATAGTTTATTCTCTTAAATCTAATAGAATTTAGTTAAACTAGATTCAGTTTTATTCAAAATTGAAATTCCTATACGAGACTATCGTAAAAATCGACTTCCTAAAGATAAAAATAATACGCAAAACGCAACAAAAATTTGTCTTTAATGTCTCAATTTAATAAATAGCGAATAATAAAAAAAAAATTTTTTTTCTTTTGGCAGTTATAGAATATCAAAATCATTCTTTAATGATACAAAAATAATAAAATGATAATAGTCAAAAATGAAAATAATGATAATAATAACAGTGGCAATGGTTAGAATAATTTCAAGATATTATTGATATTACTGAAATTTTATAAATCTACATAAACATTTAATTTTATACATCTTCAACAAAGAACAAATCCACTGGGAATAGGAAAGGTGAAAGATTTTGGTTGAAACTTCTAAAGAGCGAAAAAGCTTTGTCTCGAAAAGATGTGAAGAATTGTGCCACTTTTCTTACTACAAAGGCAACAAATAATAATGTGGATATTTTTTTCTTAAGAGCATTCACCGTTGTTGTTGGTCAGATTCGCTCTGCTGCCTTATTAAATATAGGACTATATAAACATGCCAGGGAGAATCTTAGCGATAGAAATTTTTTTATTTAAGAGTTCTTATCATAACTGGCTAGACTCGTTATGCTGGCTATCGCACTAGGCGAATGTGCCAGGGAGTCCCTTGGCGATAGAAGTACACGCGAGTCGCTGAAGTTGCTGCGCCGGCATTACCCGGATTTTTTGATAGTTTGCTTCTGGAGAAATAGAATCTCAGCTCTGAATTGAGCAACAATCCACTAAGCCATTCTAAGGCGATAGAAACACAGGTAAATCGCCATCATCATCCCAATTTTTGGACAGGTAGCACCTCGGTAGTACTTCAACATGGGCCATTTTTCTTTTTTCATTCAGCCTTTCTCGTTAGGTGACACCATCACTCAACGAAGCGTGGTGCATCGATCCGATTCAGACCTAACCTAACCTTTGAATTTCGGTGGCAATCATCTTTGCAAACGCATCTAAGATGAAAATAAATGATTTCTAAATATCCCATAATAACCGTAATAAGCAAAACAACGTGTTTTTTCAATAAATCGATGAATACAGAAAATCAGCAACAATGAGCGATTGATCTGGCGAATGGGGAATATGAGGACAGCTGAATGGTGGTATCGAAAGGCGAGGCTTCGACTCCTGCTCCACATGAAAAAACCTTGGTGGTGCGATCTATTTAAACTTCTGTCCCTGATGCCTTCTTGATAGAAATTTTTAGCCAAAAAAATAGCCAAAGGAATGAGCCTAGCTGCGAGAGGTCAACTATTTATTCGCTTTTTTATAAATACTATAGCCAGCTGAACCAGAAATGTTAAATGTTATTCATATTATTCAATCATTAAAGAACATTGCAGTTTATCGAAAAAAACGATACAAACGGTTTTATTTCTCGAGAGGATAAGAAAATTTTTCGAGCAATTAGAAGAAATAAAATATCAGCCAAAAAAGTTTGCTTGGATGGGTGATTATCAAAAAAACGTCCAGTGAAAAAATTTCTGTAAATAATCGCTAAATTTTAAGTGTTTTGAACACGATTATTATCCCATTTATGTGGTGGAAAATTCACTATATGTGGACTTTTCCACACCACTCAACATTTCTAGTTCAGCTGACTTGTCTGCAATAGGGACTCAATAACTCATTTGAAAATAAAGAGACCCAGGACGATCGATACTACTATATCATTACGATTTTAATTTCAAGACGTAAAAGAGGAATCATTATGCTGATAATCTAAATCATTAATCTGCAAACTCTGGGGGCCTCTTTGTACTTTTCAAAATCATCATCTAACAGCCTTTAATATAAAGAGCCTTTCAATATTTAATATAGGATATATTGAGATCTCGTAAATTACGCTTTGAAACTGAGAAATTTTCAACTTCTTTTTAAAACGAAAAGCTAATTACATATATTTTAAATATATATATTTTAAATAGTATATTTTTTTGTGAAAAATATCGTATTTTCCAAAAATAAGGAAAAAAATAATGGCGCTATTAGATATTTCATATAGTTCGCTAACTGGAGATCCTAAGTGAAATGCGTTTTGCCAAATTCTCTTTCTGGAGAAACTTTCGGAACGATTTTTTTGATGAACTAAGGATAAATAAATGGGTAAATTGGCAGAATAAATATTTAATTTTTAATTTAAAGTGTTTCATTCGAAAATAGAAATTAATTTTATTTGCCGATAAAAAAGAAAAAAATTGAGGAAGGAACATTTGGGACAAGCCAACTCTTTTCAATAAATATAAATTTCAATAAATATATGATTGAACTGCGATTGAAAATAAAAAAAAAAAGAAAAAAGTGCGCAATTAAGCAAAATAAAACTAATAATGAGAATTTGAAAATATCGTTTTTAATAATTAACAAGAAAAATGAAATTTCTGAAAATAACGGCCAGCGTTTTACCAAGGCAAAACTTCTTTCAAAGTGCACTTTTATTGTTATTTTAATAGCTATAAAATAAGAATAAAGCAACTTAAGAATAAACTTAAGATCCTATCGCCTTTTAGCTAAAGACAAAAAGAAGGAGAAGAAATAAATGAAGTAATTTTAAATTATTATTCTGAAACTGGAAAGCCAAAATAATTTCGGATGAACAAGTCATCTTTCAGACAGCAATTCCCACTAGCGTCATTCTAAATGAGAAAAATCGCCAAACAAATTTTCATAAGACCAAAGAAATCATGAAAGAAGCGGTGAAATCGACTGCAGAGTCCTTTAATTTTATTTAGAAATTTATAGGAGGAAGAAAAAAATTGTAGAAAAAGCGAAAATCATAGATATTTTTCATGAAAAGCTGTGACAATCGCCGTATTCTTTAAGAAATGATTTATTAGAAATCGGAAGTTGGCAACAAAAAAATAATTTCTTTCTCGAATTTCCGTGACTTAACAAAGAATAAAATTAATAACAAATAATAATTAAATGAGAAATACAATAATGGTCAACAATAAAAAATAATAAAGAATTAATTAGAATGAGACGAAATACAGAGGAAAATTAGATACTTGCATGAATAAAAGGGCATTGCATGCGTCTTTAAAATCTATCGCTTTAGGCGAAAGTTTTTGTTAAAAACGATAGAGCAATTCGAAAATTGATGTGCAGCACTCGTCAAGAAACAACAGTTAATAATAATAAAATTAGAAGCAAGCGAAATCACGCAAAAAATTACCAATGAACGAATTTTATTAAATCAGCATTCTTTTTAAGTAATGGAAATAAAATTGCTAAAGTCAATACAGACGTTTATTCTATTCTATTAATAGCAATAACAATAATTCACTTTTCGTAAGGATAAGAGAATCTC